GGTCGAGGAGGGGGAGGGCCGCGGGACGAGCAGCTCCGGGGGACAGCTGAGAACAGCGGGACCCCTCTCCCTAGGGCAAGGGGGCGGGGACTGCGGCAGTGTTTGGCAGCCGCTTCGGGGAGAATTGGAGGGGGACAGTGAGGAAAAAGTCTGGGAGAGGCAGGCCCCAAGCTGGGAAAGGGTTCCCCCGGCTCGAGATCCGGGCTGTCTGTGGTCAGAGTAGACCTGGTTACTCCTCTGGGATCTACGCCTACCCCACCACCTCTTTACTGTCCTCTGACCCTTTGCATTCTTGGGGTCAATTTCCTGGCGCCCCCAGACCGACTCTGAAGAGGGACCTCAGCACTGGGTGTGGGATGAAGGTCTTGCTAAGCTTGTACACCTCCCCACCCAACAGTGGCAGCTGGGCTTTCCCTGGTGAAAACCCCCATCTCCTGAGACTCTGAGTAGAGAAGTTGTCTGTGAGGAGCCCCAGCCTCTGGAGGGGAAGGAGTGGCCCCATCCCTGGGAGGGAGGACCAGGGCTTCTAGGGTGGGTGTTAAATCTAGCTAGGAATGGAGGCCCTGGGGAAATCCCTGTCCTGGTGGGAGGAGCTCGTTTGGTCCTCAGACAACACTGTCCCCCTGGAGATTTAGGGGGTGGGAACATGAGCGATGGCTCCACCCTGCCCGCAGAATTCACTGGGACGTTTGTCCTCCAGAGCACCTGTCACACATGGCCCAGAGCTAAGGGACTTGATATCACCTGGTCTCAATTCCCTCCCCAGGAGGAAGCAACCCAGAGGGGGAGGGGATTTGTCCAAGGTCTATATAGCATTCTTTCTGCTGTTCAAGGAATTCCTTCTCAGAACCCACCTTTGTGTACATGAAACCAGCACCTCATAGGATTCTGTGGCCTGATTCCCATATCTGCTGGGTCCTGGTTGCCACTGTGTGTTGTGTTCAGGTGTGGTCTCTATACTGCGCCCTGGCCTCCCATTCCCCAGAACAGCTGTACCCAGAATGTTCTGTGTCCTGTGTCCTCATGCCCCTGCATTCCCTCTCAGTCCTCCACAAGTGGTGAGAGACGTGGCCTTACCTGCTGGCTCTGACCCTCTCCTATGGCCCATTCCCTACAGGCCCTGGGCAGTGACGGAGTACGGGTGACCATGGAGAGTGCCCTGACCGCTCGAGACCGGGTGGGGGTGCAGGACTTTGTGCTGCTGGAAAACTTCACCAGTGAAGCTGCCTTCATTGAAAACCTGCGGCGACGCTTCCGGGAGAACCTTATTTATGTGAGCCCAAATGGGTAGATGGGTGAGGCTGAAGGCATAGGCACAGGGCTGAGCAGGGGAGAAGGCACCAGGGTCAGGTGTCTCTAGGACAAGTTTCTGATCCTTTTTTCCTGACCTCCCAGACCTACATTGGCCCTGTCCTCGTCTCTGTCAACCCCTACCGAGACTTACAGATTTATAGCCGGCAGCATATGGAGCGATACCGTGGTGTCAGCTTCTATGAAGTGCCACCCCACCTGTAAGTTATCCCTTACCCCTCTCCAGGAGTGATCCTTCATCTGACCCTTTTTTTTTTTTGTACTGGGGATCAAACTCCAGACCTTGTGCTTCCGAGGAAGGCCTCTGAGCTAAATCCCCAGCCCTATGTGACACTTATTCTAAAGTGATCCTTCACCCTCAGTTCCCCATCCCCATGAATTACCATTCACACAGTAAGGAATCTCACAATCACCGTAGGGTTACCCCAGTCCCCACTAGAGATTAATCTCTCAACTCTGATCAGAACCTCTAGTCCTCACCACAGATCATACTCGTGACTTTTTAACTCCACTGGGGCATGGTCTCCCAGCCTTCACGACCCTTCCAGACCTACCCATGAGTGCTGCAGCTTCTCCCTTGAACACATCTCTGCCTGGAGTGATGCTCAGTCTTCCATCTGAAAGTAACCCCATCCATATTCATGAGGGAGTGCTAGGGATTTACCTCAGTGGTCTGCCACCTACTTTGCAAGTGCAAGGTCCAGGGTTCTATCCCCAGTACCGAACAAACAAACAAACAAACAAAAAACAGACATATTCATGAGGGTACCCTAATTCCCATCCTCAAGGGTATGCCCTACTCCAATCAGATATAGGAGTGGGACCCCCAGTCTTACCTCTAGGGCTCCACCACATGCAGTCCCTGGTCCCCTCCCCCTGACAAGCCTCTGCCCCAAGGTTCGCAGTGGCTGACACTGTGTACCGGGCACTGCGCACTGAGCGTCGGGACCAGGCAGTGATGATCTCTGGGGAGAGTGGAGCAGGCAAGACAGAGGCCACCAAACGGCTGCTGCAGTTCTACGCAGAGACCTGCCCGGCCCCCGAGCGAGGTGGCGCTGTGCGGGACCGGCTGCTGCAGAGCAACCCAGTGCTAGAGGTAAGAGGACAGTCACATCTGAGGGGAGAGAGGGTCAGAGAGAGAATGCCAGGCAGCCATCATAGCCCATCTGCTCCTAGGCCTTCGGAAATGCCAAGACCCTTCGGAATGATAACTCCAGCCGATTTGGAAAGTACATGGATGTGCAATTTGACTTCAAGGTATCTGTAGGTATATGGGGACAAAGGAAAGGACTTCCTATTCATTAGGCTTCATATTTGTTGAACATCTATTATGTGTTAGGCACTATTTCAGGTAGAGCAGTGAGACCAAATAGAAAAAAATTCTCTTGGTCTGAGGGTATAGCTCCGTGGTTGAACATTTACCTACCAAGCATGGGGCCCTAGAATGGATACTTGGTACCACAAAAGAGAAAGAAAGAAAAGTCCTGTCTCCTGGTGTGATAAATAGGTAATTCAGGCCAGGGAAGCAAATAAAATGAGGTAAAGGGTGAGGAACAATTACAATTTCAAATATGGCAGACAGGGTAGACCTCACTGAGAAGTGGCATTATAGTAAAGGCTTGACAGAGATTGGGCAGTGAGCAGGGCAGCTACCTGAAGGAAGGAGTCCACACAGCCAGGACAAACAGTACAGTAGGAGGGATCTGGTGTATTTGAATCTGGCAAAGCCAGCTAGACAGAAAAGATAGCAGTGAGCCAAGAAACAGGAACGGAAGCCAGGTGGTGCAGGTCCTTCTGGGACTTCACTTTTTTTTTTTATCAGGGATCAAACTCGGGACTTTGCACTTATGAGGCAGATGGTGGAACCATGGAGCTAAATCCCCGGCCCCACTTTCTCTCTCTCTTTTTGGTACCAGGGATTGAACTCAGGACCTTGCTCTTGAAGGTGTGGTACCACTGAGCTAATCCCTGGTTCAGGACTTTACAAGTTTTCTTTCTTTTTTTTTTTTTTTTTTTTTTTTTTGGTTTTTGGGGATTGAACTCAGGTCCTTGCACTTGCGAGGCAGGCAGCAGCACCACTGAGCTAAATCCCAGGCCCAGGACTTTACAAGTTTTTAGTTGTGTTTCTTGTTTGTTTTATTTTTACAATGCTAGGGATGAATTCAAGGCCTCATGCATGCTAAGTACATGCTGAACCACTGAGCTACATCCCAGGCCTGCAATAATTTTTTTTTTTTTAACTTGGAGTGGAAGGAGATTATCAAAGCATTTTGAATAGAAGTTTGTCATGATCCAACTTTCCTACTAAAAAGGTCACTCTTGCTGTTTTGTTGGGAATAGATGATAAGGGAACCAGACCAAGCCGGGAAACCGGTTAGGAGGCTGATGTAATAATGTAGGCAACAGATGACAGTGGCTCAAACCAGTGTGGGTACAGTGGAGGTGGTAAGCAATGGTTGGATTCCAGATGTTTGAAAGGTTAAGGTAGCAGGATTAGGTATTTGGATGTACAAAGTAGAAGAAAAAGAGGCTTCTGGGAGGACCACAATATTACTGCCCTGGACAACTATTGGAGACACAAACAGAAGTTAGTTTGAGCAAGGAGAGATCAGTAATTCAATGTCAGACCTGTTCAATCGAGACGCTTGTCAGGTATCCAAGTGGAGCTTCCACACAGGTAGAATCTTTTCGTTTCTTATATGAAGAAACTAAGGTCAGTGGGGGTATTATGTATGAGTCTCACCACATAGTTGGTGGCAGAGCTGGAATGAGAGGCCAGGCCTGCAGGAAAGCAAAGGGGAAGATGGACTCTATTCCCCATTTCTTCTGACAAATCCCTATGCTCTGACCACAGGGTGCTCCTGTGGGTGGCCACATCCTCAGTTACCTTCTGGAGAAGTCCCGAGTAGTACACCAGAATCACGGGGAACGGAACTTTCACATCTTCTACCAGATGCTGGAGGGAGGTGAGGAGGAGACTCTGCGCAGGCTGGGTTTGGAACGGAACCCCCAGAGCTACCTGTACCTGGTAAAGGTGAGTGGCTGTCAGGAAACACAGGTGCCACCCACGAGGCACAGTGCCAGAACTGGCAACCCAACTATGCCCTTTCTCCAGGGCCAGTGTGCCAAAGTCTCCTCCATCAATGACAAGAATGACTGGAAGGTCGTGAGGAAGGCACTGACAGTCATTGACTTCACAGAGGATGAAGTAGAGGTGAGGACTTTTCTGGAGACCCTTACTTTCCTCCTGGCACACCCCAAGATCACCTACTTTTATTATTTTTTATTTTTTGTCAGTCCTTGGAATTAAACCCAGGCCTTACTAAGCTATATCCCAGGCCTTTTCACTTTTTATTTGGAGACAGGATCATGATAAGTTAACTGCCCTGCCTGATCTTGAGCTTATGATCCTCTTGCCTCAGCCTCCCAGAGTGTGGGAGTATAGGCATGCACCACTGTGCCTGCCCACCTTCTACTTTTAAAACCCATTTCTATTTTGAGCCCCCTTCTCCCAAATACATTCCCATCTATTCCCTACTCCTTCGACTACCAACTAGTTACCCTCATGGGGTTCCTTCCCCATCTCTGGAACCACCCTCTGACTGCTTCCCAGGAACTGCTGAGCATTGTAGCCAGTGTCCTGCATCTGGGCAACATCCACTTTGCTGCTGACGAGGAGAGCAATGCCCAGGTCACCACCGAGAACCAGCTCAAGTATCTGACCAGGGTGAGTGCAGTGGGCAGAGGGCAAGACAAGGAGGGGGCATGTAGGGCAAGAGGAAAGCCACCCTCACTATACTCTTCCCCACTCCTGGCAGCTCCTTGGTGTGGAAGGCTCGACTTTGCGGGAAGCCCTGACACACAGGAAGATCATCGCCAAGGGGGAAGAGGTGAGGCCAAACCTTTGCCACAGGACAGGAAGTCCCAGGTGACCCCCACTGCCATCAGTTCCCCTTCCCCTTGTCTCCTCAGTGGTCCTCTCTGCAGTGCTGGAGGGACATAGGTGGCTCAGGGAGGCACAATGACCTGACCAAGGTCACACAGGAAGAGAGTGACAGTCAGGCTTGAACCAAGACTCCCACCTCCAGGAATGAGGCATCTTGTTCCTATGCCACCTTCTGGTGTGGCCCCTCTGTTCTCCCCTGGGGCACCAGTACTACCTCTACTCTCTAGTCCCCAGGCTTATTGGAGCTGGAAAGGGAGGGCGGTCAGAGCATCTTGGTCTTTTGCCTGAGTCTAAAGGGGCAGTGGGGTGGAGGGGCTCTGTAGTACACATCTCTTTATCTCACTCTATGTGACAGCTCTTGAGCCCACTGAACCTGGAACAGGCGGCATACGCGAGGGACGCACTTGCTAAGGCTGTGTACAGCCGCACTTTCACCTGGTTGGTTGAAAAGATCAATAGGTCCCTGGCTTCTAAGGTGAGCACTCAGTCCATGCTGCTTCCATGGCAGGCAGGAAGGGTGGACAGAGAGACCTGGGACTGGGAGTTGGGGTCACAAGCCCTGGGACCCATGCCCTTGGATGTCCTAGGATGCTGAGAGCCCCAGCTGGCGGAGCACCACAGTTCTTGGGCTCCTGGACATTTATGGCTTTGAAGTGTTTCAGCATAATAGGTCAGTGCCATCTTTACCCCTTGCTAGACTCTCCTCTTGTCTTTCTGTCCCAGCCCCTCTCTCCTGTCCTTGTCCCTGTCATTCCTGCCTGATGACTTCCCCATCACAGCCTGGGTCCTGCTGTGTCTCTTAACCTAGATGCCCAGGGACCCGCTCCTGCCCTTCCCCCACTTCCAGACTTGTGTCCCCCACTACTAGGCATTCTTCTGCTTCCTTGCAGCTTTGAGCAGTTTTGCATCAACTACTGCAACGAGAAGCTGCAGCAACTCTTCATTGAGCTGACACTCAAGTCGGAACAGGAGGAATATGAGGCAGAGGGCATTGCGGTGAGTGTCAGCCTGGAGTGCCCTGTGCACAGTGGGAAGCCAGGCATCGGGGCTCCCAGGAGAGGGTGCCAGATCCCATGATGATGCCCTCCTCCTCTCTCCCCACAGTGGGAGCCCGTCCAGTATTTCAACAACAAAATCATCTGCGATTTGGTGGAGGAGAAATTCAAGGGCATCATCTCCATCTTGGTGAGTCCTCTGCCCCTCCAGGCTTCATGCTGCTGGCCAGCTGGGATGCCATCCTCCTGCTGGTCTCTCTGCAGGCCAGTCCACGGTGGGTGGGGTAGAGCTGCCCAGTCTGAAAGCTTCCTGTGGGGCTCCCTGTACTCTGTCCCCTTTTCCCTCAGAAGCTTCTTTGCTCTCCAGCCCCTCCCCAAACACACCCCTCACCCTGTGCCCTGCCACCCAGGATGAGGAGTGTCTGCGCCCTGGGGAGGCCACAGACCTGACCTTCCTGGAGAAGCTGGAGGACACTATCAAGCACCATCCACACTTCCTGACGTGAGTGGGGCTGCTAGGCTGCTGGTACAAAAGCTCACTTGGAGTAGAGCCTGTGAAAGGTTGGGCTCGGTTCACAAAGGTAAACACAGCCACATGGCTGGTGGTGTAGCTCAGGGATAGAACACATGCGTACCATGCATGAGGCTCTGGGTTCAATCCCCAACCCAAAAACAACAACCACAGAGATCTCTAGGGCAAGTGCTAATTGGGGACATTTGCATAAAACTGCTGGTCCTGCAGCATGGCTTCCTACTTGCTCTTCTTCAAGGATGAAACTTGCTAAGATTTCTTTTTACTTCCTTATTTGGAAATTGCTTTTTATTTAAGGAATCTCCAAAATGGGGAAGGGTGGAAATAGAAAGCAGCACCTTTGTCCCAACTCATCCTGTGTATTTTGTGTACGTCATGTAAGCCATAGCTGCCCTTTTCCCTTTTTTGTTGCACAGGGAATTGAACCTAGGGCCTGAGCGACATCCCCAGCCCATTTTACTTTTTATTGTAAAACAGGATCTTGCTAAGTTACTAAGGTGCTTGAACTTATGATCCTCTTGCCTCAGCTTCCCAGATTGCTGGAATTACAGGTGTACACCACTGTGCCTGGCCCCATAGCCACCCTTTAAGGGGCTGTTCTTATTTTTCCCATCTAGCTGAGACTCAGGAAAGTGAAGTCATTTGCCCAAGGTTATCTTACATCTAGATTGCAGAGCTGGGACTCAGTCCCAGGGCTGTCAAATGCCAGAGCCCTGAGCATTGTTTGCTTAATAATATATTAAAAACTTGTTTCTGGTTATAAAAGTAATATTGCTCATTAAAGAAAAGTTGGAATGTTAGCAAAAGCCTGTCATTGTTAACAATTCCAGGCATTTCCTTCCTGCCTTTTTCTATACATTTTTTTTTTCATAGTTAAAGATTTATTGTGGCCGGGTGTGGTGGCACATGCCTGTAATCCCAGCACTCAGGAGGCTGAGGCAGGAGAATCATTGTGAGTTCGAGAACAGCCTGTGATACATAGTGAGTTCCAGGTCAGTCTCAACTACATAGTGAGTCCCTATCTCAAAAAAACAAGACAAAACAAAACAAAAAAAGATTTAAAAGATTTATTGTGTGTAAGGCTCAGAGTAAACTTATATCCTGAGTATTTTCCTGAATCATCAAACAAAATAAGTTACTCAAAACACTTTCCCCAACAGATCTGACCCACAGATACAGATCTCAGCCTTTTGGGGCCCCTGGCCAGTGCCAGCTTTAGGTTTCTGCTAGAATGACAAGACTTAAAAAAAAAAAAAAAGAAAAGAAAAAGGTCGAAAAGAAAGGCGGGAGAGGTAGCTCAGTGGCACTGCACCTGCCTGGCAAGCACAGGTCCTGAGTTCGATTTCTGGTGCAAAAAAAGAAAAATAATAATGAGGCTGACACCCACATTTTGTACCTTAAATCCTTGCCTGTGTCTCCAGTTAGCTGCTTGGAGTAATTTCTGTTGTTGTTATAGTTGTTGGCTGTTTATTTTATAGTGCTAGAGATTAGATCCAGGGCCTGTGTCACTGAGCTACACACCTAGCCCTGGAATAGTTCTTTTTTTTTTTGAGACAGTCTCACTATGTAGTTCAGGCTGGCCTTGAACTCACTGTGTGGCCCAGGCTGGCCTAGAACTCATGGTAGTCCTCCTGCCTCGGCCTCCTGAGTGCTGGGATTACAGGCTCACACACCACTATGCCAGGCTTGGAATAGTTCTTAAAAGTAGCAGATGAGCTAAATGCTATAAACATGCTTAAAAATTTAAGTAATCTGGGCCGGGGATTGAGCTCAGTTGTTCCGATGCCCGCCTCTCAAGCGCAAGGACCCAAGTTTGATCCCCAGTACCAAAATAAAAAAAAAAAATTAAAATTAAGTAATCTGCCAGGTGTGGTGGTACATGCCTATAATCCCAGCATTCAGGAGGCTGAAGTAGGAGGATCACCATGAGTTTGAGGCTAGCCTGGACTATATAGTGAGACCTTGTCTCAAAAAAACAAGAAAGGAAAGTAATTTGTTGGGGTTGATAGTGGACAGTTCAGTCTGAGCAGTCATGACCTGGTGTGTAGCAGTGAGAGTAGCCCTAACCATGTATGCCTTGTCGTGTAGAGGCCTAGCACCATGTGACCCTGGGCAAGCCCATCTACTTTTTTTTTCTTTTTTTTGGAACCAGGGATTTAACTCGGGTCTTCGCACTTGCCAGGCAGGCAGCAAAACCACTGAGCTAAATCCCCAGCCCGCCATCTACTTTTCTGAGCCTCAGTAATCTTCATGCAGTGGGGCTGATGGCCTTGCCCTGTCTGCCAGATGACACTTGAGTTGTGGGTCAGTCTGGGCTATGCCTGCTCCTACTGGTTGGCTGGTTCCTGCTCTTGAGGTCTGTTCATCAGGTAAGAATATGGCTCAGGTCTGCAGTCTGTAGCTTTCTGTCCTTGTCACCCCCAGGCACAAACTGGCTGACCAGAAGACTAGGAAATCTCTAGGCCGTGGGGAGTTTCGCCTTCTGCACTATGCTGGGGAGGTGACCTACAATGTGACAGGTGAGGATACTGAGGTTGGGTCCCTGTGGAGGCAGGAAAGTGTTTTCCCTCACCTTTCCTCTGTTCTATCCCTCAGGCTTTCTGGATAAAAACAATGACCTTCTCTTCCGAAACCTGAAGGAGGTGAGGAGGACACTGGGGAGGGTACAGTATTAGGGAGCACCAGTCTGTAAGCACCTCTGCCCAGGAACCTGTCCCGCCTGCTCCATGCTCCCATCCTGTTCCCTGTACTGCCCTCACAGACCATGTGCAGCTCGAAGAATCCCATCATGAGCCAGTGCTTCGACCGGAGTGAGCTCAGTGACAAGAAGCGGCCAGAGACGGTGCGAAGGCTATGGGATCCAGTTGGAAGTGGCAGATGTCTGAGCATGGACGAGAACCTGTGTGGGCCTGGGAGTTGGCAGTGTGCACATGAGCATGCGTGTTTATGGTGCCTGTGTGCTCATCTGTGTGTATCTGTAGGGAGCTGCTTGCAGGAGCAACTTGGCCATCTTCTGAGTATGCACCTGTGTGTCTGCCGATCACTTAGGTGTGTGGACCCATGTATGTGTACCTGTGGCCGTGGGGGCATCCATGTGTGTACACCTTTGTGTATGGGTGCTTGTATGTTCACCTATTCAATAGACATTTTAACAGACATTGCTAAGCACTGAGGATACAGAAATGAATAGATGCAGATGGGGCTGTAGCTCAGTTTTAGAGCACTTAACCTAGCATGTGTGAGGCCCTGGGTTTAATCCCCAGCACCTCAAGAAAAACAGTTGCTCTCACAGAAATGTGCATGGGGTGCTTTGGAAATAGAAGAGTGGGTAGTAAACTGCCTGAGAGGAAGAGAAGAGGGGGTCCTAGAAAGCTCCTGGGAAGATGGAGCATTTGAGCTAACTTCCTTGAGTAAGTGCTTTTTGGTCAGATGGACCTGTTGGGGGTCACTGTAGGGAGCAAAAGGGCCCAAAAAAGTCCAGGAGTTTAGCAGAAAGCCAAGTCATGGAAGAGAGAGACTGGGAAAGGGAGGTGTGGCCAGCAGTGCCAGATGCAGAACTCCTAGGAGCTCAGGGCAGAGGTGTAACTTCTGGACTTGGCAAGAGGAAAGTTGGGGTGGCCTCAGGTGCCAGGGGAGGTCAGTAGGGAAGTAGAAGCCAGAGTGCCAGGCTGAGTATGCTTGTAGGAAAGTCGCAAAAGCATGGATAGTACCCACCCTGGAATCCTCCCTGTCTCTGCTGCTTGCCATCACACCCTCAACCCACACCACCTCCTGGCCTCTGTTTCCCTACTCCAGTCACCTGCATATCCTGTTCTATCCAGGCCACTCCAGGAAGCCCACAGATTCATGTGTCCAGTGACCTCCCCAAAGGGGGCTTTTGACTGCCTGGCCCCGCTATCATCTTCCTTTTCCTTGCCTAACCCAGGACAGGGATCTTCCTCCACCCAATCTTCCAGGCCAATAACCTAGGCATCACCCGGGTCTTCACTCTATCCAGCTGCTGGACCTTGCTTGTCTGTTGGCTAAGTATTTTTCAACACCTTTTCCTCTACCCCTTCCCTGTAACCATTTCTCTAGGTTGGGTCTTGCTGTTTCTTCTCTGAGCCAGCCATCCTCATCCCTGTTTCCTAGCTTCCAATCTGTCCCACCTGACCCATCTTCTACGGAGGGGTGTGTGTGTGTGTGTGTGTGTGTGTGTGTGTGTGTGTGTGGTACCGGGGATCAAACTCAGGACCTTAGCCGGGACCTTAGCCGGGTGTGGTGGTGCACACCTGTAATCCGAGCACCTGGGAAGCTGAGGCAGGAGGATCGCTGTGAGTTCGAGACCAGCCTGGGCTACATAGTGAATTCCAGGTCCGTCTCAACTACATAGTGAGACCCTGTCTGAAAAAAACAAAAAAAAAACTCAGGACCTTGAGTTTGCATGGCAGGCTAAATCCCCCCAGCCCTTCTATAGACATATTTTAAGATGCAGTTCTCTGTCACTTCCTGACTCTAAATTCATTGGTTTGCTGTTTCCCTGAGGATAAAATGCAGTGATCACACTTCCCGGTGTGATCTCAAACTCTCAGCAATCCTCCTGCCTCAGCTTCCCAAGTGCTGGGATTACAGGCGTGTGCCACCATGTTTTATTAACCCCTATATTAATAGGAATAGATAGGGATTGTAAATCTGTGCTAAGGAATCTACTTCTACCATAGCCTTGAGATCCTTGAAGGCCCTTCAGAGCATTATACATAGATTGGTTAGATCTAGCAACATAGCCCCAAAATTCTAGGAAAAAGAATGGTTGCTAAAAAGTGATAGTAGGGAAGCTGAGCAAGATTTTAAGGTCAGAGTGAGGTTCCAAAGCTGGAGTCTCCAGCTCAGCCAGAGGGATACAGCCCCCTCTATTGTGAGGAAGGAAGTAAGGGCCAAGCCGAGGGGAGCCACCACAGTGGACAGCAGCTTTGGTGGGGGGTGTGCTGAGGGTTAGCCCAGCTTTGGCCAAATTTCCATTCCTTCTTGGCTTACCAGGTTGCCACCCAATTCAAGATGAGCCTACTGCAGCTGGTAGAGATCCTGAAATCTAAGGAGCCCGCCTACATCCGCTGCATCAAGCCTAATGATGCCAAACAGCCAGGTAAGGCCCCACCCATGCCACAGGGCTGCTGGGACTGAGCCACCTGTCACTGAAAGCCTGCTGACTACTCTGTTACTCTCCTCCCAGGCCGCTTTGATGAGGTGTTGATCCGGCACCAGGTGAAATACTTGGGGCTGATGGAGAACCTGCGAGTGCGCAGAGCCGGCTTTGCCTATCGCCGAAAATATGAGGCTTTCCTACAGAGGTGGGGCGACCCGCCAGCAGCCAGGGGAGGGAAGGGACATGGGAGCCGCCTGAGTCCCATGAGGTAGGACAGGCATTCACAACCACATGGAAGAGATGACAACACTGAGTGAGCTGCTGTGGGACCCACATCAGGGACCTCTTCTTACTGCAGGCCTAATGTCAGCCTTGACAGAACACCAGGCTCCCCCTAGGCCCTGCCCTCCCAGGGCAGCTGGTGAGGTGTACATGAGACATTCATCCACATGCCTGCTAGCAGAGATAGATGGCTGAGAACTCAAGAGGTGGGCAGAGTTTCTTAGAAACTCAAAGAGGGTATAGCAGTTTGGTGGTTATGAGTTGTGGGGCTGCGAGTCACTCAAGGTATGAGTCCATCCCTGCCACTTTCTATCCCTTGGCCTTAGGCAGATGGGAATACTTAGATTTCCACATCTTTTCAATGGGACCCCCTGCTGGGCCTGGTGGCACATGCCTATACTCCCACCACTTGGAAGGCTGGGGCAGGAGGATCTCTGTGAGTCCCAGGTCAACCTGAACTGCATAGTGAGACCCTCTCTCCCTGTCTCAAAATAAATAAAGTAAAATAGGACCCCCAGGCCTTCTCTGAGCTGTGAACAAGTCAGTGTGAGCACCAAGAAGGTGCCCAGGGAAAGCAGATGGGGGCCTCTGGGGAAATCAGCTGGGTTATGGCTAGATGCATTCCTTCTCCTCTGTCCCCAGATACAAGTCACTGTGCCCAGAGACATGGCCTACATGGGCAGGACGGCCCCAAGATGGTGTGGCTGTACTTGTCAGGCACCTTGGCTACAAGCCAGAAGAGTACAAAATGGGCAGGTGAGTGGTGCCTTTGCCTGGTGTCTGCAGGATATAGGCAGTGACAACAAGGATCTGATCACTGCTGTCTTCCCAGGACCAAGATCTTCATCCGCTTCCCTAAGACCCTGTTTGCTACAGAGGATGCCCTGGAGATCCGGCGGCAGAGCCTGGGTGAGGAGACCCACTCTTCCAGTCCCATTGGGGCCCATTCTGGGAGCAGGGAAGAAGTCATCAGTTTGGGTTCCTTCTCCATGAATTCTGCCCCCGACCGCCACCATGTGGCTCTTGCTCTTCCCACCTCAAGTCCAGTGCCTGCCGTCTGTCCTGGCCTCAGGACGTAAACCCCCCCACATATTCCCATATGCATTTGCTCCCCTTCGTTTACTCTCATTTGGTTTATTTGTCCTCTCAGAGTAGCTGGTTCAGCCACTTCCTCATTCATGCTGCTCATTGAGCTCTGACAGTGCCAGGCTCCCAGCTGGTGGCCCTGAGCTCTGGCCAATTGACTTTCCCAACCACAGCCACGAAGATCCAGGCTGCCTGGAGGGGCTTTCACTGGCGGCAGAAATTCCTCCGTGTGAAGCGATCAGGTTTGGGGGCTCTGGGATGTTTGAAGGGGCAGGGCCACCATGGTGAGGAGGTGGAAGTCAGTCATCTGTGGTCTCCATAGCTATCTGTATCCAGTCATGGTGGCGTGGAACACTGGGCAGGAGGAAGGCAGCCAAGAGGAAGTGGGCAGCACAGACCATCCGGCGGTGAGTGCTGGGATGCCAGGAAGGGTTGCCGAGTGAGGTATGTATGGGGTTTGGTTGCCTGGTTATCATCCCAACCTCATCTGGCCCCAACCTCAGGTTCATCCATGGCTTCATCCTGCGCCATGCACCTCGTTGCCCTGAGAACGCCTTCTTCCTGGACCATGTGCGCACCTCTTTTTTGCTTAACCTTCGGAGGCAACTGCCCCAGAATGTCCTGGACACTTCCTGGCCCACACCCCCACCTGCCCTGCGTGAGGTCTGTGGGCCCTTCCTGCTGAGTTAGGAACTATCAAAGTGCTATCAGAGGAGGCTGGGTGTGGTGGCTCTTGCCTGTAATCCCAGCACTTGGGAGGCTGAGGCAGGAGGATCACTATGAGTTCGAGACCAGCCTAGACTACATAGTGAGAACCTGTCTCAAAAAACTAACAAACAAATTAATATCAGAGGGCTCATATGGCCAGAGGGGAAGTAGAACTGGGCTTTGAAGAATGAGTTGTTTGGAGAGAAACTGGACTAGAAAGGCTATCCAGGTTGGGAAGTTGCTTATACAAAGGCCTGGTGGTGGGCATATGTTGGAGGTCCTCAGAGGGAAGGGCACCAGGCTGGATAGGTGCTCTGACCTTGCTTTCCTTCCCCAGGCCTCAGAGCTTCTACGAGAGCTGTGTGTGAAGAACATGGTGTGGAAATACTGCCGGAATATCAGCCCTGAATGGAAGCAGCAGGTGTGGGGAGCAGAAGGAAGCAAAGAGTAGGCAGTGGGGTTTGGAGCAGCAGCCGTCACATGAAGAGTGCTGGTCCTGGAAGCATTTTACCCGATTTGCCCTGCAACCTCAAATGGATCCTAGTCCCCCACTGATTCTCATGTAGGACGTGAGGCTAGAATAGATTATGAGTAGCAAATAGGGCTTATGGTGTGAGGTACCTTGATTGGTAGAGGCTGCCCAGAGCCCCATGCTGAAAGGGTTACAGCCTCATTCTCGTGTGTGGGTACTGTCTTCCATGGCTATGTAAACAGATATGAATGGGTAATGTGCCTTATATTTGCCAACCTACTAATGGAAGATGAGAAAGGACCCACCCAGCTCAGATAACCTGTAGTAATTTCTAAGAATTTGCAATCAGCCATAAGATCCCAGAGGCTCCAGGGCCTGATAGGAAGTCATTGTGGAGAATCTCTCCCAAAGTCAGGCCTGAAACCTGTTGGTGCTCTCATGACCCCTCTGGGAAGCTTTCTGCCTTGGTTGATGAGGAAAAGGATAAAGGGGAGGGGCTGGTGGAAGTGTTGGTGGCAGGGCTTAGCCTTCCGGTACTGGGACCACAGAACAGATGATGAGGGAGGCTGTCTCAGTTTCTGAGACTGGGCCTGCCCCCTTCACAGTCACCACCCCGTGACACCTCCTCACTCCCCTTTGTCTCTTCAGCTGCAACAAAAGGCTGTGGCTAGTGAGATCTTCAAGGGCAAGAAGGATAATTACCCCCAGAGTGTCCCCAGACTCTTCATCAGCACACGTCTTGGTGAGCCCCTAACTGTCCAGTCCTCAACACTTCCATCACTGCCTCACCTTCTCTGACCTCCTCTCCCCAATCTGGGTTGCAGGCACAGATGAGATCAGCCCCAAAGTGCTGCAGGCCCTAGGCTCTGAGCCCATACAGGTGAGAGCCCATCTGCAGTTCCTTGTTCAGCACAGTTCTGCTGCTCCTATCCCAGAAGGGCATGTGGTCAGGACATAGGCAGAGGCCAAGGAGGGGACCCTCAGCCCCTTCTCTGTCCTCACCCACTGCCTTCTGTCTGCAGTATGCGGTGCCAGTGGTAAAATACGACCGCAAGGGCTACAAGCCTCGCTCCCGGCAACTGCTGCTCACACCCAGTGCTGTGGTCATCGTGGAGGATGCCAAAGTCAAGCAGAGGATTGATTACGCCAACCTGACTGGTCAGACAGAGTCCACAGCTGCATAGGGAGGCCCCTGTGCTGACCCTTGATCCTCACCTCTGCCTTTCTCCCTCAGGTATCTCTGTCAGCAGCCTGAGTGACAGCCTGTTTGTGCTCCACGTGCAGCGTGAGGACAATAAGCAGAAGGTGTCCCTTGAGGACTTGGGAGGTAGAGGGGTCCTATACCTTGGACAGGGCTTGACCCCGCCTTCCCTCTGGCCCCCCAGGGTGATGTGGTGCTGCAGAGTGACCACGTGATAGAGACACTGACCAAGACAGCTCTCAGTGCCGATTGCGTAAACAACATCAATATCAACCAGGGAAGGTGAGGCGGGTAGGGGCAGTGAGTGGGTCATATCTGCACCTAGGGACAGGGCAGGGACCCAGCCTGGAGTATCTGCTTTTGTGAAAGCGTCCTCATGTGCTTCCTTCCCTTCAGCATCATGTTTGCAGGGGGCCCTGGCAGGGATGGTGTCATTGACTTCACACCTGGATCGGAGCTGCTCATCACGAAGGCCAAGAATGGGCACCTGGCTGTGGTGAGTGGGGCTGCTTCCCTGATGCTAGTCCAAGGCTGAAGCAGAGCCTCTGATAGCCAGGCTCTCATTGGCACTGTTTGGCCAAGCCTGGGCAGCTCACCCATGGCGTCAATCCGTAGGCTGCTTTACCATCACTTTCATCCCACTGACCTCCCACAGGGCCCAGAGAGGGGCCATTCAAGCCCCATGCTGTAGAGAGTCATAAAGATGGCAGCATAGGGATGTAGGGGAGACCCAGGGTGATTAGGGGTACACGGTAGGAGGAGAGGTCCACTCTGGCCAGGCAGCAGGTATTGTATGGGAGTAGAACCAGAGTCTCCAGGACCAAGGCCACTAGATAACCTCATCTGCAAGTGCCTGTGTCTAACCTGGGACTACAGATAGCCAGAGAACGTAATGGCTGCTTACCACTCACCACTCAGGCTTCTCCCTCTGTCCCTACAGGTGGCCCCACGGCTGAATTCTCGGTGATGAAGGTGCCCATTGGACCCCCTCCCAACTCCCAATGCTTTGCTTATCCCCTTTCTCCCTTCCCAAGTTCCAAAGACTCGAGCTTCCAGACAGGGACCCAGGGACACCTTAAAGCCCACCTGCAAACTCCTGCTTCCTGCTCACCCCTCTTGAGGGAGCAGCAGGGGGCGGGAGGTACTCCAGGAGTGGGCCAGGCCGGGCCACAGCAATAGGAAAGGTGAGGCCAGAGCAAGCCACGCCAGTCCCACCACTGATGCCAAATACGTGAGAAGGGAATTTTTGCTGAGGTTTTCTCTGAGATTTTTTGATGCTTTATAGGAAACTATTTTTTTAAAAAGCCATTTTCCTATCCCAAGACACATTGGATGTGTTTTCCCTGATTCAAACAGGGCAAGGAATGTAGCTGAGAGATTGGGTGGGCTGGGCTGTGGGGCCTTCTTCCCTGGCCAGGCCATCCTCTCCTTGTTCCCTTGGTACCTTGTCTGTCTTGTCTATCTGTCTGTCTGCCTGCCTGCCTGTCTGCCTGCGTGTCTCCCCACCTATATCTTTTGCAGCCCACTCTGACCTCCACCTGGGGCTGAGACCAACCTTGCCTGCCCTTTCTTCCTGCCTTAAAGTGCCCTTTTAGGACAGGGAGTGTAGCTCATTGGTAAAGCATGTGCTTAGCATGTGTGAGGTGTTGGATTTAATCCCCAGAACCAAAACAACAAACAGGAAAAAAAATGCCCTTTTATATCATCATCCCAGTCTTGGAGAATTCTGCAATGGGAAGGAAAGTCTTACACCATAGAATTTGGAAGACTTAGAACTAAGTCATCTAGTTCAGCCCCTTGCAGTTACAGAGCCAGAGCCAGAAAAAAGATGGAGGGGAAGCCCCAAAAGGTAAAGAGACTTGTCCAAGCTCCTACAGCAGGTTGAGACAAAAGCAAGACTCTTAACCCTTCCTGAGCACACTTCACTGCCACTCCCAGGGAAAGGGAGCCCCCTAAAACATAGGCCATGTTTTAGGTATGCATCTGGCTCCCTGACCAGCAATCACCCTTGGGGGCCAGCAGGTGGGCAGCACACTTGTGCCTGAGTCCCTGCCTTAGGATGCCAAACCCCAACCGCATACTTGGGACCCAATTCAAAGATGTAGGGCTTTGCTGGCCCCTGTCCCTTCTTGACCTGGGATCATGGGGAAGCAGCCAGCCTTGGGAGGCACTGCAGGGGCATCACCTCTTTCTGCCACTCCTTCCATCCCAGGGGGCCTGGGGGTTGCCAAGTTGCCTGTGCTCTCCAGAGGTATCAGCCCACTGCTGACACTTCTGAAATCCAGAGAAACACTAAATAAAGCAATATATGTTTGTCAACATTGTCTTCTTGTGAATATTAGGAAAGAAAAGAGGGCCCTAAAAGGCAACCAGAGACCTTGTCTTGCAATTTTTGTTGTGATCTCACAAGAAAGGGGACAGGGGCTGGCCGTGGTAGTACGCACCTGTAACCTCAGCACTCAGGAGGCTGAGGCAGAAGGATTGCTGCAAATTTGAGGCCAGCCTGAGCTATACAGTAAGTTCCAGGCCATCCTGAACTACATACATAGTGAGACCCTGTCTCAAAAAAAAGGTGGGGTGGACAGGACTTCTTCCCTAGAACAAAAGCAAGAATACTTTTAGTGGCTCCACTATAGGTTTGCTCTTTGACTATTAACCAAAGAGCTGCTAAGTCTGGCCCAGTGCTGTGGGCTGGGCAGCAAGGCACCCCTAGTGTGGTAGGGTAGGCACCAAGGACACTGACGGGTTAGCGTGGGGGAGGCAGGTCTCAGGGGATCATCTCAATTCTGTTGGAAGTGGCAAACCAAAATGGCTTGGGCAGAAAAGAGCATTTGTTAGTATTAGAAATTTAACAGTTGGGGCGGGGGATGCTTCTTGGTAATCAGTGTGATGCCAGCACTGTGAAGCTGAAGCAGGACGTTCCCAAGTTTGAGTACAGCCTGGGCAATTCAGAGACTTAGTGAAATTCTCAGAAGAAAAATTGACAGGGGTTGGGGATTTAGCTCAGTGCTTGCCCTGCCTGCCTTGCAAGTGCAAGGTCCTAAGTTTGATACCTGGTACTGCCAAAAACAAACAAAAAACAACCCTGTATAGGTGGAATTGTTACTGGGCCAGGGATTTAGCTCATTGGTGCCACACCTGCCTCAAAAGCACAAGGTTCTGAGTTCAATCCCCAATACAAAAAAAAAAAAAGACAAAGGGCTGTTGCTCAGTGCAAAGGTACTCATACCCAGTACCAAAAATAATAAAAGATACCCACATTTGATACAACTCCCCAAAATTTATAGAAAAATAAAAGCACCATAATATATCTACTCTTATCAGGAATAACTGCTTCCAAGAATTTAATAGATTAGATGCAATTACAACTTTATAACCATCACAACACTTCTAGCAAATTGAAACACATGTAATTGAATGTAATTGATATCAGACATAACAGAGGTAAGATGAGACACTTTTTGTAAATTTTTTTGAGACGGGGTCTCAATATATATAATTCAGGCTGGCCTTGAACTCACAATGTAGCCCATGCTGTCCTCAAACATGCAAAAATCCTTCTGCTTCAGCCTCCCTGGTGTTGGAATTATAAGTGTGTGCCACCACACCCGCCTCACCCACATGCACACAGCACTTTTAAAGAGTCTCCCTATGTTTGCCTAGGCTGGCCTTCTATTCCTGGCTTCAAATGATCCTCCTTTCTTAGTCTCCTAGCTGGGACTATGTAGCCTGTGACTCTTTTTTGTTTATTCAGTACTAGGGATTGAATTCAGAGCCTTCACACTGAGCTACATCCCCAGTTTTTGTTGATTTTTTTTTTTTTTCGAGACAGAGTCTAAGTCGCTAAATTGCTCAGTGGGATTCAAACTTATGATGCTCCTGCCTCAACCATGCATATGCTGGGATTATAGGCATGGTACTACTATGCTGGGTCCACTCTGTCCTTTCAAGAAATAATCAAGAGCCGAGCCAGGCGTGGTGGTGCATGCCTGTAATCCCAGAACTCAGGAGGCTGAGGCAGGAGAATCACTGTGAGTTCAAGACCAGTCTGGACTACATAGTGAGTTCCAGGTCAGTCTCAACTACATAGTGAGACCCTGTCTCAAAAAAAAAAAAAAAGAAAAGAAAAGAAAAAAGAAAAAGAAAAAGAAGAAATAATCAAGAGCCAAGTGTGTTAATGCACTCTTGTAGGTCCAGCACTCAAGAGGCTGAGGCAGGAGGAACACTATAAGTTCAAGGCCAGCTTCAGCTTCATAGTGACTTTAAAGCTAGCCTGAACTACAAAGCAAAACCCTATCTCAGAAAAAAGATAACAGAGGGGCCAGGGATTTAGCTCAGTGGTGCCGTGCCTGCCTCAAACGCGCAAGGTCCTGAGTTTGATGCCCAGTACAAAAAAAAAAAATTTACACACACACACACACACACACACACACACACACACACACACACACACACATAATCAAGACTAGTTTGTACCTCAGCTAACATCATGCAGGAAGCAATGCCTTCTAGGGGATATCTGCCAATTTAAGAGGCTAATTCTGGCCTTAATGAGCTTATGCCAGAAGATTCTTCATTTCTTCATTCAACAACCAATATATTTACTGAATGCCATTATGGCTGGGCTCTCTCTGCTAGGAACTGGGGATAGAGCAGAACCCCCTCCCCAAAAAAACAAAAGATCCAAACTTTACTTTCACGGGGCTTATGTTCCAGAGGGGAATAGAGATGACACATAAATAAGTAATACATATATTAGAAGAAAAAAGAGACACGTGCTAGGGAAATAAAGCAGAAATAGGAGAGGAGGCATTGTTTGTGTGGTTTATGATTTTATTATATGGTGTTTTGTTTGAGACAGGATCTCTCTATATAGTTCAGATATCACTATGTATCCTACGCTGGCCTTAAACTCAGTGATACTCCTGTCTCAGCCTCCTGAGAGCTGGGATTACAGGCATGTGCCACCACACCCAGCTGAGTTTGCAAGTTTAATAGGCTGGTCAGGGAAGGCCTCACTGAGGAGGGGACACCGGATGGAGACCTGAAAGAGGGCAGGAACTGACACCTAGATATGTGGGACAGAGTGGTGCAAGCAGAGGGAACAGCAAGTGCAAAGCTCTTGAGAGGTACGGGACTCAAGAGGAAAAGTCAGGTCAGTGGTGCTGGGGAAGACAAGCAGGGGAAGAGGAGGAGGGATCCAATTGCCTCTCACCTCCTTCAAATGCTCTTGACTTCTGCAGCTTTCATGAGGACAAGGAAATTGGCATCATTTCCCTGATTCCACCTCCAAAGGGACTTGTTTGATGGGGACAGAGTGCAGGGTACCCTGCAGCAGAGTAAGTAACCCTTTTTCAACAGCCTTCAGCACTGGGGATTTAGCTCAGTGGTTCTGCCACCTGCTTTGCAAGCACAAGGTCCCGAGTTTGATCCCCAATAACAATAAATAAATAAATAAAAGGACACTAGCTCAACAGCCTTCAGCCACGACCCCACTAGGAGCATGTCACTGACCTTTGTGGGAAGACTCAGCCTCCTGTCTGTCTCCCCAGCTTCCTTTGTACCCCCAAACCCTCTTTGGAGTCCCTTAACATGCTTAATGTCTGCCTCCAGACATTTTTGCACCTTTTAAGAGCGGTCCTTAGCTGTACACAGTGGGGTGTGTGTATAGTCCCAACTACTTAGGAGGCTGAGGTAGGAGGTTCTCCTGAGCCCAGCAGTTCAGGGCCAGCCTGCAAAAAATAGCAAGACACAATCTCAAAAAGACAGAGGGCCATATTCTCTGTCCCTTCCACTCTGGAGACCCACAGGGAGATCACTGGAAACCAGGAACCCTAAAACAACCCTGCAGTCTTTGAAAGGATAAGCCCACACCCACTGCTGGAGGATGAGATAATGAAGGAGAATCAAGGTGCCCTAATTCATATCCGCTTATTCTCTGCACCATCGGGTACTGAGTCTTAGGAAAGACAACAGATTCCCTGAACACCAGGAAAGTGTTGAAGGGGTGTGGACACTGATTTCTCTTTAGGAGAATGAGCATGCCTGGACTCTGCTCTACAGAATTCGTACTGTATAGGAATACAACGTTCAAGAACTACAGAACCCTAGTATTTCTGGGGCTAGCCCTCTGCATACCATACCTGACCACCTTTTGGGAGCAAAGCAGAGTCCTGGACTGTGAAGAGTCAAGAGGTAGCAGCCAGGCCTCCAGGTGGCCACTGGAAATGAGAGCTATGAAATGAGCTTAAAAGCTAGGAGATGAGTGCTTGCTTTGGCAGCACATATACTAAAAACCAGGAATGAGGGCCAACCCCAGAAAGAAGCAGCCCCACACGATGTTGATAACTTCCAGGGGTATCCAGGTGCCAAATAGCCGAACAGTCACAGGAAGACAGTGGCCCCTAAGATGCCCTCTTCCTGAGGGACAGGCAGGACCGGAAGGGCGTTCCACTCACTGTCTTGTGGCTGCAATTTCTGATCAAAACGTCTTTCAATTATTTCTGACTATAGACAATGTGTCACTGTTCTCTAATTATTTCCTTGTGAAATTTTATTTTGTCATGGAAATAAGAGCACTTTTTTACATTTTCTTTATTAATATCTACTCACATTACATTAAAGTTAAAAAAACCCACAAACTGTATGTGGGGCCAGGGATTTAGCTCAGTGGATGTAGCTTACTGCCTGCCTCGAAAGCACGAAGGCCTGAGTTCAATTCCCAGAACCAAAAAGGAAAAAAAAAATCAACAACAAAAAACTGGATGTGTGTGCGGGGGAAGAGATTTTCTCTTCATCTGGTTTCAGCAGTTTGACTATGTGTATAGAATTAGACTTCTTTGTATTTATGCTGCCAATGATTCGATAAACATCTTGATTTTGGAGAGAGGGAGGAGATCCTCTTCTCAGCAAAGCTGAAAGTGACAATGCAGGTGGGACATCAAAGAGGGGCCTCCCTCTGTTTCTGCACTCTCTTTGGTCAGGAGTATAAGAGGTGGAGGGCTTTGGTGGATTTTTCTCCTGGACAGGGAAACCTTCCATGTCCAGTATTTTCCCCCTCTTACATCTTCGTCTCCTTTTCTCCTGCCCCCATGACTGTCAGCACACACCTGTCCTAAGCAAGGAGGTCACTTTCTTAGTGGGGCAGATCTTGGATTGATCAGGGAACAAAATCCAAGGGGAGGAGAGAGAAGGAGGAAAAGGTAGGGTGGGCTTGCAATGTCCTTACTCAAGCGCATGCCCATCACTACCTTGTGGGGCTTTAGATGTGCAGATCCTCTGTGCTCTAAAGAAGGGCACAATTTTTTTGAGGGGGCGGAGGGTACTGAAGAGCAAACTCAGGACCTTGCACTTGTGAGTCAGGCAGCACCACTGAGCTAAATCCCTGGCCCCCTGATTTATTTATTTTTGCAGTGTTGGGGATTGAATCCAGGGCCTATGCATGCTAGGCAAGCACTGAGCCACATTCCAGCTCTCAGTCATGATTTTTTTCCCCTTCTCTTTTCTCTTCCTCCCCCCTTCTTCTCCTTGCTCTCCTCCTTCTTCTTTCTCTTCTTACAGTACTGGGGATTGAACCTAGAGTCTTTGAACTGAGCTTCATTCCCAATCATTTTTATTTTTAAATTTTGAGACGGGGTCACTAAACCTGCTACATTGCCCAGGCTGTGCTGGAACTTGTAATCCTCCTGCTTCAGCCTCCCAGAGTGCTGGAATTACAAGTGTGTGCCAACACTCCCAGTTCTTTTTTCTTTAACTCTGCCCCGCATCCTTTCCATGTGTTTAGGGGAGGAGGTTTTGGAACCTCCCAGGCAGGCTCTGAGTAAGTTCTGGCCTTGAAGCTTGGCTATCTTGGGATATGAAGAGCAGGTGCTTCTTTTTCTCAAAGACCCAGAATTCACACAGGGACAGCTTCTTCCGCCAACTTGTGGTGACACTAAATCAGGGTCTGACTGAGTCACCTACAGCAGGAAAAGTGCCCTCTTCCCTGCTCCTCTTCCTGGAGCAGGCCCAGGAGTGTGTGAGGTGGGTTTAGAAGAGCCAACATATTTATTAAACCATAATCCAGGGCTCACTATTTTATTTTATTTTATTTTATTTTATTTTATTTTATTTTATTTTATTTTTTGAGACAGGGTCTCCCTGTGTAGTTAAGACTGACCTGGAACTCACTATGTAGCCCAGGCTGGTCTCAAACTCACAGCGATCCTCCTGCCTCAGCCTCCCGAGTGCTGGGACTACAGGCTTGCGCCACCACACCCAGCAAAGGCTCACTATTTTAAAATGTAGCTTTCTGCCACCCTTTGGTACCCTCCCAATTCATAAATTTTAGTACAGGGCACAGAGAGCAAAGCTCTTCCAGGATTTGAATCCCACTTCTCACTCTGCAGCTGTGCCTCTCTGGAGGTCACTTAAATTCTCTAAGCTTCAGTTTCTTCATCTGTGAAATAGGGATAGTTGTTAAATGCTAGCCAGTAACATTGCCCAGGCTGAGGTCCAATTGGCAAAATTCTGTTTCAGCTCCCACAGGGCTGGGGGTACAGGACGAAAACTCCATTCTTACACCTCCTTCCTTTTGCCTTGAATTCCCTTCTCCACTTGTCCTCTGGGAAGCCACTTCTGGGAAGCTTTTTTGGACCCCACCATAGCATTTGTTATTCCTTTGTTATTAAATGTTTCCTGGTTCCTCCCACTGATCTCCATGACTGCAGTACTCAGCACTGATCACCCTTGCACCTGCTATGCAAGTGCGGTACCAATAACTATTTGCTGAATGAATCACTGAAAATATAAACTTTTGCAGGCCTGTGGTGAAGCTAGAGGAACCCGCAGAGAAGGAAAGGCAGATTTATCAGGAAGCCTTGCTAAGGACTCCAGCACTCAGATCACATCTTTCCTATCCCAATGGGGGGTGTGTGTGCCGAGTTTCGAACTTAGGACGTTGCACTTGTTAAGCAGGCTGAGGCACCACTGAGCTAAATCCCCAGCCCTCCAATTCTTATTTTTTAATTTTGTCTTCTACCTCAGCCTTCTTGAATGCTGGAATTACAGGTGTGCACCACCACGGCAGGCATTTTTGGCGTTGTTGAGGACTGAATCCAGGGCTTTAGCGCTGAGCTACATCCCCAGTCCCTCTTTAAAGTTTAAGTAATTATTTTACGGCGTTATGGAGGCCTTTGCAATGAGATATATAGCCAGTTCTTTTTTATTTTTATTTTGAGACAGGGAGGGTCTAGCCAAATCGCTAAACTGGCGGCGCACGCCTATGATCACAGCACTCAGGAGGCGGAAGCAGGAGGATCACTGAGATTTGGAGGCCAGCCTGGGCTACGTAGTGAGTTCAAAGCCAGCCTGAACTCATAGAGAGGACCTGTTTCAAAAACAAGCAAACAAACAAAAAGTAGGCCAGCCTCAGCGCGAACTTGCGATCCTCACCCTCCCAGAGTGTTTCTACTTCAATTCTTTAATTCCCTACCTGTAAATCTCGGGCCTTCCAGGAACCTGAAGCCTAGTGGAGAGGACACCAGGAAACAACTCTGAAAACAAAACTCTGAAGACTGCCGGCTGAGGCTCCGCCTCCACACCTCTAGACTCCGCCTCCCCTTCCTCTGAAATCCTGCTTTGGGCCAGAAGGCGACGCCCATGAAGCCGCATGCGCAGTACGTGAGTGGTCTCCTTTGCCCTTCTCCCTATGGTGGTCACCGGTCCCCTTCCCGGCAGCCTCCCTCGGGCAGGGAGTACGTCAGTTCCGGTGGGGAAGGCCCGCCGCCGCCGCCGCCATTTCGGGCG